GTGTATGTGTGTTTCCATGCGCATGTGTGTGTGCTACACAGTACATGTGTGTCTGTATGTGTGTGCGTGTATGTGTTTATGTGTATGTTTGCATCATGTACTATATATAAGTATATATGTGTGTGTGTATAGGTGTGAATGTGCATCTTTGTGCGTGTGTCATAGTAATCAGATCCTGCACCCTGCTTTTTCACTGAGTGTAGGACCCTGGATACTCTTCCTGTCAGCATGTGTAGATGTGCCACATGGATTTCAGAAGTGGCAGAATGTTCTTTTCTATGAATTCGATAATTCATCTAATTTTAGTTTCTATTCCTCCATTTTATAGCAAAATCAACTCTGGTACAAAAACTCAAATGCATTTTTAAAGCATTATTATCTCCTTCAAATGGACTTAATTCCAATCAGGCTGGTGAAGAAGTTGGTTCGATCACTGATCACTAGTAAAGGTGAACTGTCCCTCTCTTCTTGCTTCCTCAGTAATTAGGTTTCTGCTGCTTCTGCACCAGAGAAACAGGACGTCCTCCTGCAGGCTGAGGCTCCAAAAGCGATCAAAGCCACCTAGAGAGGGCAATAAACATTTCTTGCTCTTGAGGTTGCTTGCAAATTTTTTATTCTTATCATGAGACAAAGATGAGGAAGATGTTTCAAGCAAAAGTCCAACAGCAGCTTAACTGCGGTAAAAGACAGAAGAGATGGTCTCAGTGAGAAAGGGCCTTATGACCCCATAATCTTGTCACAAACCCACCGACTGGTATTTGTGGCTGTCTTTTTATCCTTTACTTCAGCAATTTACTGGTTGCTTCTTGTGTATGTGGAGCCTGTTCATGTGGGATCTGAGGAAGGAATTTTCCTGCATGTGGGAATGTCTAATGAGCATTTACAAGCAGTATTTCCTTCTGATTCTTTTCTCTGCACCCTGGAAAGTGTTTTCAGGGCCTTTAACATAACACTTCTCTTGGCTGCTCACCTTGTGTGCTATTATTCGTGTACCACTTGCTCAGGGTATGCAACATAAAGGCTTCACGGGTTCCTTTTTAAGCCCCTTTCCCTTATGGCAGTTTAATCTCATCCAGATTGTGTAAACTAATGTTGTTGCATGAGTCATCATGGTATTTCCCTCGAGCTGAATTTGGCCTTTTTATCCTCTTATTAAACAATACGGTACATCTAGGGCACTGGTGAATGACCAACCGGATCAAGTTTCCCAGTTTCTCATGTGCAAAAGTCCACGTTTCCCTACATAATCTTGTCTTCACTGGCTCAACCAAATGCTATTTCTCCAAGTTCATAAATCTGATATTCTCTTTTGGAGTCTTTTCCCTTTTTGCACACTTTCAAATCCCTGACTTCTAAATAGTCTATTGACTTCTAAAGCTGTTCATGTAGTAAGACAACGACTGCATAATTCATATGAGCAAATCTGCTCTTGTGGGGACAAAAGGAGTTTTATTTTGGCATATATGATTCTGATTGGCAGACTTCTTTGGAACCTTTGCAGAAGATAGGTCCCTTGGGTGTGGAGGAGAAAAGTCAACTAAACCCTTAGAGCCAGGAAAGACCATGCTTGGGGTCATAAATCTTGTCTACAGGCTTCTTCTTGCCTTTTACCAAACAGAATCACTTAGTGCTTTTCCCCAGGTTAGTGATGTCATCAGAACGAATAATTCAAAGTAAGAATTGAAAGGCTCAGTGCTTTGTTGTGAAGGGCGTGAATACTTGAGTCTGTCAAAACAGGCTTTCCATAGCTGCCACCCGCAGAACAGGGCTTACCTTTTCTGTGTTGCTTGTTTGAAGTTTCATGGGCTGCTAGCATTTCTCTGGTCTGTTTGCACCCTCTCAGCCCCAGGTGATCCCAGTTTTTCTCTCCTGAGTGTATTTGTCCATCCAGCTGCAAGGGTGCAATGGTTCCCTTATTTCTGCACTTCCTCTCTCCATTGTCATTTCGAAACATCGGATGTGAGCAGTGAAATCACGACTTTTGCTCTGTGGTCGGGAAGGGTCCAGTTCCAAAGCTCCAGGGTTACTGAGGCAACAATGGTCAGGCTGTGGGCACCAGTGACAAAGAGCCAGGAACAAGCACACAGCCCCAACAGGGGTGGCATGTTAATGCAGTGCATGCACCCATGCTGGGAACGTAGAATAAACCACGTACAGATGATGCCCCAGGAAGATTAGGCCCCCATATCAATATTCAGTGAACAATATCCAAGAAAGAACTGGACAGGAGGATGTACACAACTAACCTAAATGACTCCCTCACAGGCTTAACTTCTTTTCTCCTCGAGAATGAGCCATCTATGGAACTACCAAAGTCCACTTTAAATAATTATATTCCCGGTGCATTTTGGCCTCATGCTTATTTATTATTTGATGACATGTTCTATGTTGAGAATCTTTAAATAAAACCGTTTAATCACCAAGGAATGATTTTTTCCCCATTTCCATCCATCAATTCTGCTTATCTTCATGGCTCATCTCAATGATCNATGACATGTTCTATGTTGAGAATCTTTAAATAAAACCGTTTAATCACCAAGGAATGATTTTTCCCCATTTCCATCCATCAATTCTGCTTATCTTCATGGCTCATCTCAATGATGGTTTACCCTTTCACAATTTTATATAATTTTTTGTTTAGTGTTATTGAATTTCAGTTATGTTTATCTCATGCTACTATTTTATCCTAGCTCATATCATAATTACTTGTGATCTTCCATAATTTCATCTCCCAAACACACAAGACATACAACTACTTCCATGGGAGGCTCTCTTACCTGTGACTCCTCCCATCCCAGCCATCTGATACTCAACAGGAACTTACATATCTGAAGTGTGTCACACAGAAAGCCAGTCACCAGGACAATAATTACAATAAGCAAGTTCCAGTTTCCACTGAAGACAGTGACCAGAGGAGGAAGATATTGTCTGAGAATAAACTAATAACCGTTTATTAAACAGAATTTCTTAAACCTCAGTATCCTAGCAGCTACAGCATAATGCTGTACCATGACACAAAATTGTGGAGGTACACCATGACATACAAGTGCATTTGTCAATGAGGCCATGAGACACAGGCATTAGAAATCTCCAGACTAAAGTTCCTGAATACCCACCCTGATTTTCCAATTCGATAGGATGCTTCCTGAGAAATGTACTGCTAAAAATCATTCCCATCAGGAAAAAGGCAAGGGTGCCCCCTCTCCCCACACTTTTTCAACATTATACAGGAAGTCTTAGCTAGTATAGTAAAATAAAAAAAGGAAGTAAAACATATACATATTTGGATGGAAGAAATAAAACTGTCTTTGTTTACAGGTGGCATAATGGTATATGTAGAAAATCCTAAAGAATTGAAAAAAAAATCTTGAACTAATAAGCAATTATAGCAAGGTTGCAGGATGCAAGGTTAATATACAAAAGTCAATCGCTTTCCTATATACCAGGAAAGAACAAGTAGACTTTAAATCAGAAGCACAGTGCCATTTACACTAATACCCGAACAATGAAATACTTAGGTATAAATCTAACAAAATATGTATAAGTGCTATGTGAGGAAACTACTAAACTAATGAAAGATATCAAAGAAGAATTAAATAAATGAAGAGCTATTTCATTTTCATGAATAGGAGGACTCAATATTGTCAAGAAATCAGATCTTCCCAAATTTATCTACAGATTCAATACAATCCCATCAAAATGCTAGCAAGTTATTTTGTAACTATTGACAAACTTATTCTAAAGTTTATGTGGCGAGGCAAAAGACCTAGAATAGACAACTCAATATTGAAGGAGATGAACAAATTTGGAGAGCTGACACTAACTGACTTCAAGACTTACTGTAACAATACAGTAAGCAAGAATACAGCATGATATTCATGAAATCTTCAGTAAATAGATTCATCAAACAAAATAGAGAGCTCAGAAATAGACCTCCATAAATATGGTCAATTGATCTTTGACAAAGGAGCAAGGCACATACACAGTCTTCTTTAACAAATGATGTTGGAACAATTGGATGTCCACATACAAAAAAAAAAACCCCAAAAAACTGAATCTCAACACAAACTTTCCAACCCTCACAAAAATTAGCTCAAAAGGGATACCTAAATGTAAAACACAAAACTATAAAATTTCTGGAAGATACCATAAGAGAAAATTTAGATAACTTTGTGCTTGGTGATGACTTTTTAAATACTACCTCAAAGGCATGAAGGCACGATCCATAAAAGAGATAATTGATAAGCTGATTTTATTAAAATTAAAAACTTCCCTTCTGCTAAAAGACAATGTCTAAAGAATGAAAAAACAAGCCACAGACTTGGAGAAAATATTTATAAATGACACATCAAATAAAGGACTGTTATCTTAAATATACAAACTTAAAACTCAACAATAAGAAAATAACCCAATTAAAAAGTGGGCAAAAGAGCTGAAAACCACCTCACCAGTGATATACAGATGGCAAACAAGCATATAGAAAAGATGTTCATCATTATATATCATTTGCAATTCCTGTTGCAAATTAAAACAATGGGATACCACAACACACCTATTAGTATGGCCAAAATCCAGAACACTGACAACACCAAATGCTGATGAGGATGTGGAGCAACAGGAATGCTCATTCACTTCTATTGGGAGTGCAAAATGGTACAGCCACTTTGGAAGTCAGTTTGATGATTTCTCAAAAAGCTAACCATATTCTGTCGTATGATCCAGCAATTACACTCCTTGATACTTAACCAAATAAGTGGAAAACCTATGTCCACACAAAAACCTTCACACAGATGCATATAGCAGGTTTATTCATAACTGCCCAAACTTGAAAACAACCAAGATGTCTTTCAGTAGGTGAATGGTTAAATAATGGGATATTATTCAGTGCTGAAAAGAAATAAGCTATCGAGCCATGAAAAGACATGGAGGAGTGTTATATGCATACTACTAAGTAAAAGAAGCCAATATGAAAAGGCCACATACTCTATGACTCCAACAATATGGCATCCTGGAAAAGGGAAATCTATGGAGACCGTAAAAAGATCCATGGTTGCCAGGTTATGGAAGAAGGAGTTGGAACACCAGCAGGTGGTACACAGGGAATTTTCAGAGCAATGAAACTATTCTGCATGATATTATAATAGTGGATGCATTATAAATTTTTCAAAACCCAAAGAATGTTCAACACCAAGCGTGAGCCCTAGTGTAAACCATATGGATTTTTGGAGATAATAGTTCACAATGATGTGCCCCCTATTGGGACAGTGTGGGATCCTTTTGATCGGTCCTCATTATATGAGTTACTAGCAGTTGAACTCTCAGTATGTTCGGGAGAGTGCCAGGTACAACCTCATTTAGCTTATCTTTGTAATAACACATAAAGTTGGCTGCTATCCCCATTTCACAGATTCGGAAAATGAAGCTTGAAGGGTAACGTCTCCCCAAGGTCACTGGGTCTGTATGACCTCAGAGCCAGTATCTCTAACCATTAGGCAGCACTTCCCTCAGCCCAGGAAGCCCTCCTTGTGTTCCTGCTCTTCAATCTCACCTGCTCTCTGTACGATCAGGGTCTTCTCTGTCTCTTCCTCCAGGGAGAACCTGGCAAGTTCCTTTCTGTGAAGACTGATGTTCTATGCTTAGAGGACTCCATCTCTGGGCAGGCAAGAAACCTGTTGCTGACGGTGGGTGGCCTTGCCCAACAGCCTCAGACCAAGTGGGCTCCACCTGACCTTACTTTCAAGGAGATGAGGGCTTTCTCCATTCTCCCCATTGAGCAGAGCCCCCTCCCATGAAGAAACTGAATATGCTGGAAGAGGGGTGTAGGAACTGTACAGGGGTCACTGCTGGAGGTTCCTGGGGTGTGGTTGGGCACTGTACTCAACTCCAAAGCCCCCAGCCCAATGATGTGACCTTGCAGCTTCTGTGAGACCCCCACTCTCCCTACACCGTGCTTTGTAAAGGCCCTTTCTGCTCACGCCAGCTCAAGTGGGTCCTGAGAACCTCGCTTGTATGGAACATAGGCAAGGTCGCCCCTGTAACTCGCTGACCTCATCTAGATGTGCTGCTTTCCTAACTGGGAGGCAGGGGTCCTGGCTCAGAGGGAGAGCTGGCAGGAAGGGGCTACCAGGCCCCCACTCTCCTCTCTCCGAGATGGCAGGGGCATGCTGCTGCTCAGAAGCTGGGTTATAGAGCAGGAGGGCTGGGGCGGCTCAAGGCGGGGCCTGGGGAGGAGCCACAGATGGGCCTGGGCAGGGTTAATGGGCAGGGCCTGGGCAGGGGGATGAGCAAGGCCTGGGGAGAGAGGTGGGCCTGGGCTGGAGGATGGGTGGGGCCTGGGGAGGAGCCACAAGTGGGCATGAGCTGGGGGAATGGGCAAAACCAGAGGTGGGACCAGGGACTGGGCTTGGGGCAAGGCTTGGGTGGTGCTTGGGGCTAGTCATTTCTAGCTCCAGGTTCACTCCCAAGTAACTAGATCTCCTCCATGCTGGCCCCCTCAACCTCCCTCCCTCCCTGGGGTCTCAATCCCAGTGTCTGCAGCTCTTGATTCCCAGACAAGGCTCAAAGTTGACAGAGAGACCTCTGATATTGGAAACTGCAGCCCACACCTTCAAAACATGAATAAAAACATTTTGACCCATAAATTCCACTTTTAGAGCTCTGTTGTAAACACACGGAAATGTATAGAGGTAGAAGTTTCCTTCAGCATGATTATGGAATGAGAAACCGGAAAAGGCCCATGTTCAACAGCAGGGCTGCTCAGTGAATTGTGATTGACTGCTGAAAATTGGAGAGAAGAAGAGGACTGACTGGCTAATGTCCACCTGTGGGGACATCAGGTTATGGAAGAGCTCACTCCCTGAAATCCTCCCCACCAGACATCCACATGCACTCTCACCTACGGCATCTGTGCACACACACACACGCACACATGTACACACACAAGCAAGCACATGCCTGCACTCAAAGGGAGAGGACTGGAATGATGAACACCACGTGTCAAAGGTATTCTGTCTGGGTGGAAGAACTGTGCTTTTTATTTTATTCTTAATTCATATAGAATTCCTTATTTGACTATAAAAAATGTTTGCCTTTATAATAAAATCCTTTAAAAACCAAGTAACACATTTTAATTACTTAATAGATGAGTGGTAAAGAATAATATTTAATATATATTCTTTTAGGAATTACAAAATCAACACATATTATGAAAAATTTAATCACCTCTAGAAGATACATTTTGAAAGTCCCACTTACCAGGGGTGATTATTATTCGTGGGTTGGAACACATCCCTCAGATTAGCCTCTCTCATTCTGCCTTTCATACACGGATTGATTTACATAGATGTGTGTATGCATCTTGATGTCATATATATTAGAAACAAAGAATCCAATTTAAAAATGTTCAAAGGAGCTGAATAGACATTTTCCAAAGGGAAATGTACAAATGGCCAATAGACACATGAAAAAATGCTCAACATCATTAATCATCAGGGAAATGCAAATCAAAACCACATCGAGATATCATCTCACCCCAGATAGACTGGCCATTATTAAAAAGACAGAATAACAAATGCTGGTAAGGATGCAGAAAAAGGGGAACCCGCCTACACTGTTGGTGCGACTGTAAATCAGTGCAGCCATTATGGAAAACAGTATGGAGGTTTCTCAAACAACTATAGATAGATCTGCCATATGATCTGCAATCCCACTGCTGGGTATATACCCAAAGGAATGGAAATTATCATGTTGAAGGGATACCTCACTCCCATGTTCATCTCAGCTCTTTTCACAGTAGCCAGGATATGGAACCAACCTAAATATCCAGGCACTGTGTCACTACGCCTCTCAGGGCCTCCCCAGTCTCGCCATGTGCTCAACAGAGATCATTCTATCCTATACTTCTTAGGATGTGATCAGGCCTATGAGAGATATCTGTCAAACCTGTAGGCTAATTTCACGTGCAGCTAATAAACAAACTTACTAATGGAAAACTGCAAAATGGGGTGGACATAGCATGGAATACAACTCAAAATAGGCCTGGGCTCCAATGCCATGATCTTGTGAATCACTCCTATCCTCCCAACTCTCTCCAATCCCATTGGCCTCCTTTCTGATTTCTACTCTGGCCTAACTCACTTCTGCCTCCGCGTCTCTGCTCCACTGAGGCTCCCCCAGGCACACAGTGCCCGGATTGTGCAGGGCTGACTCCCTGTTGTCCTTTTTGTCATAGCATAAATGTCACCTGAATGAGACATTTAGGTTCCCTCACCTGGACCCCTTTGGGTTCTCCCTGGAAGCACGGGCTTAATTTCATTACAGTGCTTGCTCTTTTCTTTCACATGTGTTTGCTTTTGTGCTTCTGTCCATCTGCTCCTCCAGACCATGAGCTCCCGGAGGGCAGGGACCACACTGGTCACTTTCAGCACTGCACCCTGCCTAAGTGGCCCTTGCATAAGGTGAGTGCACAGTGGCTGAATGAATAAATGAGAGGATCTCGCAGCTCCCCCCACCCCCAGGTGCTCACATTGTGGAGAGGGATGCTGGTAGTGGCAGGTGCAGGTTGGGTGGGAGGCTGGGGACACCCAGAATGACCCTGAGGGTGCTCTTCCCTGGTACCAGGTACTCCATTGAGCACCGTGGGTACTGCCGCCCCCAGGCGGCCAGCACTAGCACTAGCACTGCAGCCCCCGGGGGGGGGGGGGGGGGGATAACCGGAAACAGAGCACACCTGTGTTTGGGTGTCCTCAAGGCAGCAGGGCTCCCTGGGCGGAGGAGGACAAAGGAACTAGTCCTGCAAGCTGCAGGGATGATGACAGGGGCCTCAGAAGATTTCCAAGTCTCCCTCTTTCCCTCTGCTAGCCCTGAGTGTCCAATTCACTCTCCAGGCCTCCTCACCACAGCCAGGGCAATGACTCCAGCCCCACCCTGAGGCTCTGACGTGGACAGTGTAGTCCCTGTACCAGTGATGAGTGGTGTAGGGCTATGCTCTGCACCACCACAGGCACCCAGTTTCCCAAACCCCCAGTCTCCACTCAGAAGGACCCCCCAGGTATAGAACTAATTTTCCAAGGACTCGGATTACACTGAGTTACTGACAGAGAACCAAGGCCAATGGACACTTCTCCAAGTCTGTGGGACCCTCGGGGCCACCTCCTCCAAGCACCCCAACTGTAGAAGAGGAAGCCAAGGCCACTTCTCCTGTATCCTGTGACCTCCTCCCCACTGTGGGTAGGGGTGGGGAGATTACACTAGACCCTGGGCACCCAGGGGGTGGACGCAGGACCCCAGACCCTGTCGGCTAGAGGTCGCCCTAGGGACAGCTCCTGCCCGGGCAGGTCCTGGGACCCTTGGGGACGCACCTGCCCATCAGCCTAGCACCTCTCCCCCTCCCCATGCTGTAGGCCTCGGCCCCGTTGCTAGGAAACTGGACGCCCCTGCGTGGCACCTGCTGCTTTGCCAGGCGCCACAGGATCTCTGGGGGTCCGGCCTCCGGGAGTGCGGATGGCGCCGCCGGCCAATCGAAGCGCCGGCAGTCGGGCCTGCATTAAACCAGAGCCGCCTGTCAC